CGCCTTTTCTATGTGTAAAAACACCAAGGGAAGCAGGTCGTGGAGATGATGAGAAGATGCCGAATAGTAAATCTATTAATATTGTCACTGATTAAATCCACTGCCTATCACTCAATAAAAGAATCACATTGCTGGGTGTTTTTTAACATTTTGATTTTGTTTGGTTTAATAATTAACATGACCTTTGCCAGTATGACTCTCACTCGGCTTGTGAATTAGCAGAATTTAGACATAGACATTATACAACACTCAACATGAATAACACTTAATGTGGCTTAATGTACCAAGACATGTAAAATTATATTACTGAATAACAGACAAACATGTCCAATTGACCTATCGGTAAGCCCCGCCCCCCTTAATTACTGTTGCGAACTCGGACAAACAAACAGAGTTGCTACAAAGGAACCAATCACTACGTTTACATGGACATCAGTAATCTAATTATTTACCTTATTCTAAATAAGCCAATATTATGATTATGGTGTTTACATGAGTTGCTTTTAGAATATTCCTTTCATGTTCCTGTTTTTCATGTTATAGTACCTAGTTCGATTAATGGCACACGTCATTGCGTCCCACATGACGCCATCCGACGTCCCCTCCGGAATTTCACGTATAAACATATAGTTCGTCTTTGTGATGATGCCATGTACAGTTTTGGGTGTTCCGGGAGACGTGTGTGTTGTGTTCTTTAACGTTCCGCCTGGAACCAAATATACCGTAACGCCAAACCCCCTCATGTTAGAAGAAAGCCGTTGTGTTTACAACTGTGACAATAGGCGCTTATCAGGATCAACTAAATGCTGGATTTTCAAAAGTATGTGAAATATTTAAAGTTCGCGGCATAGAATCTTTAAAACAAGTTCAAGAGATTTACACACCAGTCTGTTATTGTGAGGACATTTCCACGCCCCTAAACATGACGCGGCACAAAACAAAACGTGATTGGTTGTTTTACCTGTCAGTGATATGGCCTCTTGGGCGGGCCTTAGCCGTTCAAAGAGGCCAAGGTTCCCAGCAGTGTTGCCAATTTAGCTACTTTGTAGCTAGATTTAGCAACTTCCCCGCCCCTTTTGACACTCTTTGCAAAAGTTTAGGGACAAATATAGCAACTTCTTGGACAAACCTTATCTAAGTTCTCATCTTGCCCACTGATCTACGTTCATCTTTATATAGATCAGTGAATTTGCCATTGTGATGTCATCTAGTGACATTTAGCTACCAGTTTTAGCTACTTTCAATTGAAAGCAGTTGGCAACACTGGTTCCCAGACCTTCTGCCATCAGTCTGAAGGTCTGGCTACGCAAGACTAGTGTGATGCTAACAGCCGATCCCCCTACAAAGTGACGTCATTGTTCCCCCACTCTATTTGTAGGCTCTGAATATTCTGAGAGCTACAACCACGTGGCCGCAGTACCATACAGCCGCCAGAATCTCGCCTGTTTCACACCGCAAGCATGAGCTTTGTAGCAGCGTCATGTCAGCATAACTGCACCTGCAGACTCATGCGAGTATTCAAACTGGAAGCGTTTGTACAGCGTCACAGCAGCAGCTCCAAAGCCACATATTTCTTTGCAAAGACAACTACAAATTTGTTTTTAGAAGTTGGTCAATTATAAACTTTAAAGTTTTAAAGTCTTGAAAGTGTGTTAATGGGGATTTGCATGTATTCCCATATAAAAGGTAAACAACAAAAACTGCTAAGATCATGTCGTTTCAGTCATACTTCGATACAGAATGTGTGATTTTAAATGTTTTTTTAATATTACACAATACTTTAACCCAAACTGAATAATTAAAAACAAGTTTAAATGGGTAAATCTTCAATACATATTTTTGATTCTTCATTTGCTTTTCTGACATACTCCAATCCTTGTTAAAACACGCTAGACATGCTTATTCTGTGCATTTTTTAGCACTTTTTGTGTGAAATCATTTTTATTTTGTCCATCAAAAGTGTGCTGTCACTTTAATTGAGCGTGAGCAGTGCAGCAAAAATAAACTCGGTGCCGAAACCATCGTTTCAGCGCTGCTCACGCGACGCTCTTGCTTGACGCTCAAAATGCACTCATTTGTTAACATGCACTCCGAAAAAAATACGCGCTGCTCACGCTTGCGGTGTGAAACCGGCCTAATTTCTGCGCTGCTGAGGCACTACCTCCAACTCCAAGGAAGTGGACAGACAACTTTCAAAAAGGTAAAACGTTACTGCCGGTCGTCAACGGCAGCTGTCACAGTTGCTGAGCGACGTGAGCAATCCTCCGTACATAAAAAAGGCCACGTTCACACAGCAGCAGAATACGGTTTTCAGTCCTGTATTTGAGTCCTTAATACGGTTACGTTCACACACAATTTGGTTATTTACGGGTTTGACAACCACATTCTATAACCGAAATCACATCTGTAAGGCTACATTCACACTGTCAGTTTTTGGGACTGAAAACCGTATTTACTTACAGGTGTGAGTCTCGAAATGTCCTGTTCACACAGCAGCTTACAGCATTTGGAATGCTGTCTATGAACGTGCAATGGGAGTCAAGCCCGTATTCCTTACCAGTAACCATAGCGACAGTGACAAAAGTAAAATCAAAGATGGCGACGTCAATAATACTGAAAGTTTTATCACTTCTGAGTTCTGACATGACAAGAGTCCAATCTAGCTGCGAGTTCTTCCTTCAAATCTTCATTAAGCGACAGCAGCTTTTATTTGGGTAGACAGCGGAGCATTGAGTCGTGCGCAGAACACAAAACTGACGGGAGCGGCTCCGGTGGAAAACTGATTGGATCTAAAACTTTCAGATGACATGCAGCTCATTTCTCTGACACGGTAAGTTACCGAAACCACAAATTAAAACACGCAGCACATGTTAGACGCGTGTTTATGCGGCAGAGCGGCTTTCTCTCAGTGTATGACGTGACAGACAACTAGTTGTCCAGTCCTGTTCTGTTCACACAGCGCGTGTGTTCCGAGAATGCAGTTGTGAGTCCTGAAAATTTACAAGTGTGAGTTCGGTTACAGAATGCGGTTGTCACACCCGTAAATAACCGTGTGTGAACGTAGCCGTATTAAGGACTCAAATACAGGACTGACAACCATATTCTGCTGCTGTGTGAACGTGGCCTAAATTTTCAGGACTCACAACCACATTCTCTGAAAACCTGCGCTGTGTGAACGGAACAGGACTGGATAACTAGTTGTCTGTCACGTCATACAGTGCAAGAAAGAGCCACCCTGCTACACAAACGTGCGTCTACCGTGTCTGTGTGTTTTCATGTGTGGTTTTGGTAACTTACAGTAATGGAGAAAACTCCATTCGGTTTTGTGTTCTGTGTGCGACTCAAATACTCTGCTCTCTACCCAAATATAAAAGATGCTGTTGGTTAATGAAGATTTGACAGAAGAACTCGCGGCTCGATTGGACTCTCACCGTGTCAGAAAGTAATAAGACTTTTCAGTTTTATGGACGTAGCCATCTTTGATATTACTTGGTCACTGTTGCTATGGTTATTGTTAAGGAATATGGGCGTGAGTTCGGTTACAGAATGCGGTTGTCACAACCGTAAATAACCGTGTGTGAACGTAGCCGTATTAAGGACTCAAATACAGGACTGACAACCATATTCTGCTGCTGTGTGAACGTGGCCTAAATTTTCAGGACTCACAACCACATTCTCTGAAAACCTGCGCTGTGTGAACGGAACAGGACTGGATAACTAGTTGTCTGTCACGTCATACAGTGCAAGAAAGAGCCACCCTGCTACACAAACGTGCGTCTACCGTGTCTGTGTGTTTTCATGTGTGGTTTTGGTAACTTACAGTAATGGAGAAAACTCCATTCGGTTTTGTGTTCTGTGTGCGACTCAAATACTCTGCTCTCTACCCAAATATAAAAGATGCTGTTGGTTAATGAAGATTTGACAGAAGAACTCGCGGCTCGATTGGACTCTCACCGTGTCAGAAAGTAATAAGACTTTTCAGTTTTATGGACGTAGCCATCTTTGATATTACTTGGTCACTGTTGCTATGGTTATTGTTAAGGAATATGGGCTTGACACCCGTTGCACATTCATACAGACAGCATTCGAGACGCTATAAGTTGCTGTGTGAACAGGACATTTCAAGACTCGTGCCTTGAAAAGAAAATGCAAAACTGACAGTGTGAACTTAGCCAAACATAAAATAATTAAAAACAGAGAAATATTTGTATTATATTTGAAATATTTAAAGATTCTAATTTTGGATTTATGGACATATTTATCTTTATACCTTATATTTGTTTATTATTATGGCATTTATTTACACACTTATTACACACTTGTTTATCTACATTTTGTTGAGAAGTATACAATACTTGATGTTCAGTTACTATACTATACTATACTTTAGTAATTGCTTACTATTAAAGGGGTCATATGATGCGATTTCAAGTTTTCCTTTCTCTTTGGAGTGTTACAAGCTGATTGTGCATAGATAAGATCCCTGAAGTTGCAAAGACTAAAGTCTCAAAACCAAAGAGATATTCTTTATCAAAGTTAAGACTCTGCCACAATTGGATACATGGAACTGCACCACTGGGGGCTCTAGTGGGAAATGGTGTTGAGTAATGCGAAGAACAAGAATAAAGTGTTCGTTATACACTGTATGGAGTGAGTTCTGTAAAAGAGTTAAAAACACCACACATATGAAACTTCATTACAATTTTTTATAGTTAAATGTTATAATAAAATTAATAAATTAATATTATTAATTTTGAATATTGCATAGGCCTACCTATTAATTTTCCTCTATAAAAACCTCTGGGATTATCCTCTTGGCAGCGAACCACATGATCATGATGAGGAAGGTTTTGGCATGCTCTCTGTAATTAAAGTCATTACACATTTTGTAACTTATTGATGTAAAAAAAAAAAAAAACTTTCTTTAGTGGTCATGGTGAGTTTGATGTCAACATACCGAAGACTGGGAAACCAAGAAAAGCGTGTTTTCTTTCTTGTAGTTAGTACGCAAAGCCTAAAGGGAACTAAATATTTGCGGAAGGAGCGTCAGTTCCCCTCCGAGTTCCTTCCAAAAACGAAACCGTGACTGAAAGAAGCCTATAGATTATTCGCTTTCACAATGAAAGTGCATTTGTTAATAGTTTTATTGCTGGTGTCTAATATAACATTATCTTCAGGTGTTCTGGATGTTTTCGCGGCTGCTGTATCTGTGGTTTACAAATTTTTTCAACGGGACGATTTGCTGCCTTTTGACTTTAAACGTGAGTAAAACGGCGAAATAACATATCGTATGTTTTGACGATAGATTTATGAGTTTATGGCTCATCATGTCAACATTTTCCTTTGTTTCCAACAGCGTGTTTTCGCTTATCGTATAACTTTCTATATAACTTTTTTTCATAAAAAGGATAACGTTTTTATCCTTCATACTACATACGACAGGGTTAAACTTGCATTTCCCCCCAAACTATGGTTATGAAGTTGATAGCACCACGGCATTACTGGTACCACACAGGCTATACGTTATCAAATCTTCTTTCAAAGTAAAGTGTTTACCCAATAAAAACTGCATTAATGAAAGAAAGGGAGACGGACAGAAATTAAATGAGACTCCATTGTTTCTTCATGATAATTCCCTTTCTGAATTACAGCAATATTTAGTTAGGCCTAATGTTATAGTAAAATTACCCTTGTATATATGGAAGCATATAGGTAGCAATATGCAAAATGGCAATGCAGTATTCAAAATGGCAATGTATTTCTGTATTTAAAGTTAGTATCAATATGTTAGTATTAAGGTTATCTATAAGGCAGTGTGCTCCAAAACAGTGACAAAATTCGCATTTAGAAGATATAAGCATCCAAAGCTTGCAGTTCGTCACTTCCGCCAAAAAGGCTCAACGATTTTTTTTTTTTGACGTCACATTTTTACGGAGCTCAACGGCTCTGGATGGCTCTAGCACAAGCTGTGATATAAACGAACGCTATTGGCTATTTTAAAAAGGGGCGGGGCTGCTTGATATGTCCCGCCCTGTCTTCCCGTTTCAGTTAAAATGACGTCAACACAGAGTAAATGCTGCATGTTTCTAAGCATTTCAGGGGACCTTTAAATTTACATTTTCCATTACCCTTACGTGCAAAGTTTGGGGCAAAAGGAAAATGAAAATGTAATTATATAATTTACATTTGTCATTTCCAACAGTACTCTTAATATGTAAATTGAATGCAAATTTTAACGCTTTATAAGTTGCGAAATGAAAATGAAAATGTATAACACAAATTGATCGAACGTCAAACCGAACGTCTTGAGCTTTGAGCTTCTTACACTGTGGGTGACCCACGTGACGTCAGCGTCTTGAAATTAGCTGTTTTTTAAACATTTAAGGAGCCAAGCTGCTGTGTAAATGTCCATTCAAAGTCTTTACACAGCAGCTTGGCTCCTTAAATGTTTAAAAAACAGCTAATTTCAAGACGCTGACGTCACGTAGGTCACCCACAGTGTAACACAAGACGCTCAAAGCTCAAGACGTTTGATTTTAGCATGGAGAACGCTTCATATATTTCTCTGTTCACGCTCCACTTCATCTGCCAGTGAATTCGACGATCTTATCAGATCTCGAGCCGCCATGTTTCAAACGATCCAAATGTAACACGCTTCCGCCAATCCCTGCCTTGAAGCAATGATTGACGGAGGGTAGGCGTGGTCAGCTCGGAATGCATTTTCAAATTGAATTTTGCTTACAGAAACACATTGCCATTTTGAATATTGCATTTTAAATTGAATTTCACTATATGCTTTATATGTATAGGCCTATGCTATATTCACACTATTTTAATGTTTTTTTCGCAAAATATAATTTGTCACGTGTCAGAAAACCTCAGAAATGCAAGTGTTATGGGTTATTTTGTTGACTTCACATATCTTGCAGGTTTGGAGAAAGATTTAAAAGACTCTCTCTTTGGGCAGCACATTGTGTCTGATGTTGTACTGAAAGCTGTAACATCATTTATGAATGACAGCAACCCAAACAAACCGCTGGTCCTCTCTTTCCATGGGACTACAGGAGTTGGGAAAAATCATGTTGCTAAAATCATTGCGAGAAATGTGTACAAAAAAGGGATCCAGAGCAAGCATATTCACACGTATATATCTGAGCATCATTTCCCACACAGAACAAAGTTAGACTTATACAGCGTAAGTAATTATAATTTGTAGAGTTTTTAGCTTTGGCCTAAGACTTATAGCAATCATTTATAACAACTGATCAGGCTAATAATGTAATGCCCACATGACTCATGTACTCAGAGTTGGCTGGACAGGTGGGGATTTGGGTCATTTACAGATTAAGTATTATCACTTGAAATAATAATGAAATTGCATTTCATTTATGGTAACCTGATAGCATATTTTGCCCATGCAGTATTCATTACTGCATTAAAAACATAGTAAATAATATATTTAAAATTGTAATACAAAAATTACAAATAATGCATTTTTGTAAAACGACTGAGAATGTTGTACATATCAGAAGTCATTCCTCTAACTGGGATTTGCATGTTCTGTATATTCAGGCACAGCTAAAACAGTGGATTCATGGAAATGTATCAAGTTTTCCCCGCTCCATGTTCATATTTGATGAAATGGACAAGATGCAACCACAGCTGATCGATGTCATAAAACCTTTTCTAGACTACAATGCCCGTGTCGATGGAGTGTCATTCCACAATGCAATCTTCATTTTTCTTAGGTAAAGCCCTCAAAAACTCAAGGGTTTGTTTTTTGGATTTCTGAAAATGCAGTTGTATTCAACATATTAGCTCTATAAAATTAAAACACAGTGGTAATTAAATGCCTCTACTGTCCCTAACGAGTGACACAACTAATTATATGCTGTTTATCTGTTTGTTTATAGTAATGCAGGTGGGAATGTGATTGCTGAAGTGGCTCTGGATTTCTGGAGAGAAGGCAAAGATCGGGAAGAGCTTTGGATGAACAGCAAGGAACTGGAGACTAAGATCCTTCAAAACATCTTCAACAATAAGAACAGTGTGTATTGAAAGACTATATATATATATATATATATATATATATATATATATATGAATAT